TTTTGCTTTTTTCTTTTTAATATTTTTTTTGAGATTTATTTTAAGTTTATAAAGAACTTGGATTTCCATTCATTCATTGTTGCATATTTTGCCCCCGGACCCCCCAGTTCTTTTTTTCTTTAGGAAAAAATGTTCTTTCATTGTTATACTGTGTCCACCCCCTACAGACCAATTTACTGTGTAGCTCTTATTCTGGACTCTTGTCACACCAATAATACCTAATCATATATTCCTTTTATACAGTTCTCTCCCTTATCTGTTTCAATGCTGTATACATTATTCCCTTTTTCTTAGTTTCCCTCCAATCCCCCATCAGTCCTGTTTTATAGCAGTCATATTACTCGGTATTTGTCTTTTTGTGACTGAGATATTTCACTCAGCATAATGTCCTCCATGGTCACCCATTTTGTATAATATTTCATGAGTTCTTTGTTTTTCAGTGCTGCGGCTTCTCTATCCATTCTTTTGTTGATGGGGCACTAGGGTTGTTTCCAACTCTTTGCTATTGTAAAAAAGCAGCAGTAAACATGTGTGTGCATAGGAGTTTTTCTTTAAACTTGTTTTTTTTATTACCCGCCCCTTCACTTAGCATGATTAAGCTCCAAAGACCAGGCCATTACACAAAAATTGATGTTGTGTACAAGTGGAGGTTGAGCGCATCAGATCACAGTGATGACCACATTATTACATAAGTGCCAGATTATATCATTTCTGTATTTTTAAGTAACTAATGTGTATATCCAGAAATGACTGGAGCAATACATCAGTAGAGAACTGTCAGATGTGCAGGCTGGGTTTAGAAGAGGCCATGGTACTAGGGATATTATAGCTAATGTTAGATGAATCTTGGCTGAAAGCAGAAAGTACCAGAGTAATGTCTGTCTATGTAGAGGCATTTGACTGTGTGTATTACAACAGACTGTGGCTATCTCTGAGAAGAATGGGAATCCCAGAACATTTGATCATGCTAATGCGAAACCTATACTTGGACCGGGAGACAGTTGTCAGAACAGAGCAAGGAAACTACATAGTTTAAAATCAGGAATGGTGTATGCTAGGGATGTGTCCTCTCTCCATACCTTTTCTATCTGTATGCAGAAAAAGATCATCTGTGAGGCTGGGCTGTATGAGGAGGAATGTGGCATCAGGATTGAAGAAAGACTCAACAACAACCTGCATTATGCAGATGACACAACTCTGCTTGCTATAACTGAGCAGGACCTGAAGCACTTGCTGCAGAAGGTCAAGGACTGCACCCTTCAATATGGATTGAGGCTCAACATCAAGAAAACAAGGATTCTCACCTCTGGGCCAATTGGCAGCATTATGATACGTGGTGAAGAGATTGTTAACAGCTTCAGTTTGCTTGGCTTCATAGTCAGCACTCTTGGTACCAGCAGCCAGGAAATCAAAAGACAAATTGCATTGGGAAAGTCAGCTGTCAGGGACGTCTCCAGAGTACTGAAGAGCAACGACGTCAGTCTGGAGACTAAGGTGTGCCTGATCCAGGCCATAGTCTTCCCAGTTGCTTGCTTTTTGTCAAGAGAGCTGGACAGTGACTAAAGATGATAGAGGGAGAATTGATATCTTTTAGCTGTGGTGCTGGAGAAGAGTATTGAGAATACCATGGACTGCCAGGGAAACAAACAGGTTTGTCATAGAGAGGGTGAAACCAGGCCGCTCCTTTGAGGCAAGGATTCTGAGGTTTCGTCTGAAGTACTTTGGGCATGTTCCAAAGGAGGGACCAGTTCTTGGAAAGGGATATAATGCTTGGAAGGGTGAAGGGACAGAGAGAGGAAGACCATCTATGAGATTAACCCAGTGACTGGGGTTAATAACAGTAAGTGTGTCAAAGACAGTAAAGTTGGCACAGGATAGAGCAATTTTCAAGGCTATTGTATATGGGGTCGCTATGAGTCACAAGCAACTCATAATAACAATGTATATCACATGGTTTCTTCATTTATGCAGCTCTTCCCATGCTCTTTTCTTGTGAGTTCGGTGCACATTACACATTTAGGCATGTTAATATGCAAAGATACAGTTAACATTAACTGGCATAGCTGAGAATCCTAGCATGGACAAGTTGATTAACCATCACAGTCAGAATTCCTCTCCCTTCACATCAGTGTTCATTATGACCAGACATAACATTGTCAGTGCACAAAACAGTAGGAGTTTTTCTCTTATAAATAAAAATGTGAGATGAGCTTGTCAGTGAGATAAATATATTTATATGATAAATGGTGCTTGAAGCCTCAAAAGTGTCTAGACTTAATACTGAAACAATGTACGTTTCTGAACACAGAACAGCTGGTGGGGGTAAAGTGTTTCAAGTAGTGTGGATAAAACTAATCTGTGAATAGTCTTACTTTAATAGTTAATTATCTAAATTTTATATATAGGATAGTCCATTGTTTTTTCCCAGAATAATTGTTTTCGTGTTTTTGTGGTTTTGTTTGTTTGTTTGTTTGTTGTTTGTCGCCAAATAAAACAACAAAAGAGTCAGTGATGAAGACGTCTTAGAAGATGCACATATCCAGTCAGAGGCTGAGCCTTCGAATGCTGGTGTCCGGTTGGAAAGCGCAGTGAAGGAGACTGCTGGAACTGCTAGGACGTCTCTAGGGGAAGTCAGTGCTCCAGGAAACACCACCTTACTTTGTACTCTGTCCTCAGAAGGACACCAGGACATAGCTAGTAATGTCAATGATAAAAACCCTGGGAACTGCAAATCTGTACTGTGGTCAGAGGTGGGCTCACAAGATTCCAATCTCTCAGATCAGGAATTATATAATTCCTTCCATTTCTGGAGGACTCCTCTTCCCGAAATAGATATAGATGGAGAACTTGAACAGGGCTCTGGGGATAAGCTCAGCCCAGAAAGGCCAGAGGAGACTCATGAAGTTACTGTGCCGTGTTCTCCAAACATTACCATGGCCACCAGAAAGGAGCTTGAAGAAATGATAGAAAATCTGGAGCCTCACATTGATGATCCAGATGTTAAAGGTATGAAAGCCTCAAGTACTTTCTTTGTTTGTACTAAAATGACTACAGAATGTTAATTTCTGAACTTTCCCCCCATAAAACATGCTGCCAATTTTAAAAATCAAAAGTTTCTGGTTGTCTGGTGTGTAGGGAGTCGGGCTGCCAACTCAAAGGTGAGTTGTTCAAATCTACCTGCAGTTCTGAGAGAGAAAGATGGACATTCTCCTACGCAATTTACAGCCTCTGAAGATGCGTCAGCCAGTTAGTAAGTCCTGACTCATTGCAGTAAGGTGTTTTGGAGTTTTTTAGTTAATTTTTAAAAATTTTATATTTAAGCTTTAGAAATTGTCTCAATATTGGCTAAGTTAGGAGTTACTTTTATTTGGCTTAATTTTGTTATGATTCTTCTAGATTTCTTATTAAAAAATACACTTAGAAAAAAAATTAGGTTATTTAAGTCACATTTGCTTCCTTGATTGTTGGAAGATGATTTAACTAGCAAATAATCTGCTTTTGTTTTTAAGTTTATTGAGATTTAACTTGCATCACATTAATTCAACCTTTTGAATGGGCATAAAGAATTGACCACAAGTCAGGCTATTAAAAAAACAGTTCATTACCTCTGGAATTCCCTTTGTCACTGTATAACCAGCTCTTCTTCCAGTCTCCAGCCTGTAACAGCTGCTGATTTGTTTTCTCTCCTTGTGATAAATAAGGCATTATGGAACAACTTTCTGTTTTTTTAAAAAAGAAACCATTTGGTCCCATCACGATTCATTTTATTTTAAATTCATTGTTATTGCATGTATCAGAAGTTCATTCTTCTTTCTGAAGCAAGGTAAAAACAGAAGCTTGGATATTTCCAGTGTTATTTTAGATGCCTTTGAGTCCACTGTGACTCATAGTAACCCTACAAACAGCAGATTCAAACCTGCCCAATCCTGCACCATCTTCACAATCTCGAAATATGCTCAAGCCCATTGTTACAGTCATTGTGTTGATCCATCTTATTTATAATCTTCCTCTCTTTCTCAGAACCCTCCACCTTTCCTAGTGTGGTATCTTTTTCCAAGGACTGACGCCTCCTGACAGCATGCCCAAAGTATGTGAAATAAAGTTTCACAGTCCCTGCATCTAAGGAGCACCTTGGTTGCACTTCCTCCAACTCAGCTTGTTTGTTCTTTTGACAGTACATGGGATAGTTGTACTCTTCTCCAGCACCACAGTTCAAAAGCATCAGTGATTCTTTTGTCACTCTTCTTCATTGTCCAACTTCCAGATATATATACAAAGCAATTGAAAATGCAATGGCTTGAATCAGGCACATTGTTCTTCTGCACATTGCAGAGATCCTTGACAGCAGATTTTCCCAGTATAACATGTCTTGATTTCTTGACTAGTGTTTACCGTTAGTGTTGTGGTGTGAAGAGTTTAGTGTTCAGAATGGCTTTCCTACTCTTAACTTTGACTTTGCTATATAGCTGAGTGGGAATATGTGAATAGGACATGTTAGCCTATCCACAAGGGGATTGGCTAGTCTCACCATTAACCGAGCAGATCTAGCAGCAGAATGTTGTTGTTGCTGTTATTGTTAAGTGCCGCCGAGTCGTAGGCGACTCATAACGACCTTATGAATGAAAGTCCTCAACACTTGTGTGACTTTCATCCTTTCTCCAGGATTATAGGATTTCCACAGGCAAGCTGTTACGGAAGTGGATACCACTCCTGCTTCCAAGCTTGTTTAAACACTGTCCGCCATGGGTAACCAATAACACATTTGACTCATCAGTGTCACAGTGTTCAGCTTCACAGCAACCACAAGTTACCTCTGTACGGCAAGTGGACACACCAGTCATAATAGACTTAGAAGAATGTTTGAACAAAAACAATGAAAAACGGGCCTGAGAGCCGCAGATTAAAAGTCACCCACCTTTGGCTTGGTAGCATCACTTTATGTCCACTAGGCCAACTGATCACTCTCTATGTTGATGTTATTGTTGTTAGGTGCCGTCAAGTAATAGGCAACTCATAGAGACCCTATAGCAGAGTAGGGGAAAAAAAAGAAAAAAAAATCCAAAACAAATTCACTGCCAGCAGAGAAAAAGCAGAAGACTGTAAATGCGTCTTTCAGGACCAGGGATTTTTGTGCCAGCCATACTAGGGTCTATGGGAGTAACAGCAGAGTAGCCACAAACAGTGAACCTTGACAGTGATCTGACATGAGACAGAGCAGACCTTGGGAATGCAAGGTCATTGAGCCAGAGCTGAGAACCTATGTTGGCAGGACTGAGAACTTCTTAACACTGGCCTAAAGCCAGGAGGTTAATAGCTGAGGCTCCTGCAGAAGCAGTCTTCACTATACTCTGCAACTAACCTGGGTTATATAACCTCTTGGCTTCCCCAATATGATTCTTTGTGGTCTGGGAGCTAGTGCATCAGATTTTTACACTCAGTAAAGCAGTAAGAGTGGTGTTGGGATGAATAGAAAGAGGTGCAGATTGTGCCCCCATGTCTGACCTCATGGGAATTGGTTCTGTTGTGTTAATGTTTTTAACAGGGACTCTTCCCCTTTGTGAAGTTGGTAAAGGTCAGGTATGGCAGTTCCCATGTGGCCCTTGCTCTTTCATAGGTGTTTATTAAGGTTTCAAGTAAAATGAAGTCCTTGACAATGTCAGTCTTTTCTCTATCATGATGTACCTATATTTCTAACGTTTTTAGGTGCTATCGAGTCAAATACAGCTCATAGTGACTATGAATAACATATCTGAACCCTGTCTTATCCTGTGCCATCCTTAATCTCTAACTGCCCATTGCTTTAGTCACTGTGTCAGTCCACCTGGTTAAGGGTCTTCCTCTCTCTTGGCTTCCCTCCACCTTTACAAGCATGATGTCCCTCTCCAAAAAATAGCCTGCCCTAGCAACAAGCCCAAAATATGTGGGATAAAGCTTCATCATCTTTGCCTCCAAGGAACACTCTGGCTGTACCTTCTCCAGGAAGTATCTGTTCTTTTGGTAATACATGAGATATTCAGTACTTTTCTCCAACATCACAGTTCAAAGGAATCAATTATTATTCTGTCATCCCTATTCATTGCCCAGCTTTCAGATGCACAGAAGTGACTGAAAAGATCATACATAGCCTGAATCAGGCACACATTGTTGTTGTTTGTTGTTATGTGCCGTCGATTCACTTGCGACCCTATGTACAACAGCTCTAAACTCTGCTCTGTCCTGTGCCAATCTCACTGTCTCTGACACCCCCATCCCGATTACCCCAGTCACTGAATCAATCCACCTCATAGAGGGCCTTCCCCTCCTGCGCTGTCCCTCCACCCTCCCAAGCATGATGTCCTTCTCTAAGGAACGGTCTCTCCTCACAACATGTCCAAAGTATGTTAGACGGAGCCTCAGAATCCTTGCCTCCAAGGAGCCACCCAGCTTAACCCTTTCCAGGATGAATCTGTTTATTTTCCTAGCAGTCCATGGTACTCTAAATACTCTTCTCCAGCACCACAGTTCAAAGGCATCAATTCTTCTTCTATCCTCCTTGATCATTGTCCAACTCTCTGATGCATAACAAGTGATTGCGAAGACCATGGCCTGTATCAGACGCACCTTAGTCTCCAGAGAGACACCATTGCCCTTCAGTACTTTGGAGAGGTCCCTACCAGCAGACTTTCCCATGGCAATACGCCTTTTCATTTCCTGGCTACTGGTGCCAAGAGTGTTGGCTCCCATTAATTTGGAGAAGTCCCTAACTACAGACTTTCCCAGTGCAATACAATCTCCTGATCTGCTGGTACCAAGTATACTGAGGGTAGTAGATCCATGTAAGATAATGTCGTTGACAGTTTCCATCTTTTCTCCATATATCATGATGTTGCCTATCAGTTCAGTGTCAAGGGTTTTTGTTTGCTTGACAGTAAGATACTGCAATCCATATTAAAGGCTGCAGTAACCTTCTGTGGTAAGTGCTTCAAGTCCACCTCACTTGAAGCAAGCAAGATGGTGTAATCTGAGTAATGCAGGTTTTTGATGAGTTTTCCTCCAATCCTGATGTCACATTCTTCTTAATAGAGTCTAGCTTCTTGAATAATTTGTTCCATGTACAGATTAAATAGGTGTAAAGAATGGATACAACCCTGGCGCACATTTCTAATAGACTACCCTACTTTTATCTGTCACAACAACTCTTTACATGTTATTGTCAAGTTGATTTTTACTCTTGGTAACTTCATGTGTTTCAGAGCACAACTGCTCTCTGTAGGGTTTCAGTAGCTTAATTTTTTTTCCTTTTAATTAATTTTAATGAAAGTTTACAGAGACTTTGGGTTTCCAGTCATTGTTTTTTTTTATTTTTTTTTTCACTTTTCTCCCCACCCATCCCCTTCCCCCTAATTCATTCTTCTCCTTGAAAAGAAAAAAAAATTCTTTCATTGTTATGCAGTCCCTCCCCATCCTCCCTCCCCCTGCAAGTCCACTCCAGTATGCAGCCTTCACTCTGGACTTCTGTAATGACAAGAATACCCATTTATAAACAGTTCCCTCCCTAATCTGTTTCAGTGCAATATACATTGTTCCTCCCCTCGCTTTCTGTCTTCCCTCAACCCTGATGTCAGTCCCATTTTACAACAGTGGCACTATACAATATTTGTCCTTTTGTGACTAAGATATTTCACTCAGCATAATGTCCTCCAGGGTCATCCACTTTGAATACTATTTTATTAGTTCCTTGTTTTTCAATGCAGCATAGTATTCCATTGTGTGAATATACCAGAGCTTCTCTATCCATTCGTTTGTTGATGAGCACTTGTGTTATTTCCAGCTCTTTGCTATTGTGAACAAAGCTGCAATAAACATGGGTGTGCATATATCTGCTTGGATGGCAGTTATGGTTTCTTTAGGGTAAATTCCCAGTAGTGGAATTTCTGGGTCAAATGGTATCTCTATTTGCAGTTTTTTGAGAAAGCGCCATACAACCTCCCATAGTGGTTGCACCATTTTACACTCCCATCAACAGTGAATAAGGGTTCCAGTTTCTCTACAACTTCTCCAGCATTTGATGTTTGCTGTTCTGTTAAATTTTGCTATTCTTACTGGGGTGAGATGATATCTCATTGTTTTGAGTAGCTTTAAATTTAACAAAATAGATCACTTGTTCTTTGATCTGCTACACTGCTGAGTGGATTAGAACTGCTAACTTTTCAGTTAGTAGTCAAGCACAAACCGTGGTGCTATGCAAGGACCTCATCTGTCTTAGTAGATGATTATTATTATTTCCTGTGAAAACTTTCCATTTTTTTTTCTTTACTTCAGTCCTCATTTGTAGCTCCAGTCATTAATTTTTTACCCTTTCATAAAAACTCAGTGGTATAGCAAGTACTGACAGTTTTGTTTTATTTGGCAAATTAGAATCTTCACCACTGTTTTGTTTTTATAATTCTCTTTCCATTCAGCTACTCCTATATTAGGAAAATCAGACCATCTTGAAACTAAAGATGTTCATTCATGTTTAAGGACAGAAAGTCTTTACCTTTTTCAAATTGATGAGATTTCCATATTCAAATTAATTTTCTTTTGCTGATCCTCCATTTTTATGGAAATTGTCAGCTAGGATTTGGCACAATTCTGGAAACTTTTGTGTGGATTTTTATTATTTTTTTTATTTTTTATTTTACTTTATTATTTTTGTGTGCGTGTACCGTCAAATCAGATCTGACTGGTACAGGAGGAGATTGCCCCTCCTTCCCCGGCAGAGCATCTGGTGGATTCG